GGGCTTAGGGCTTTGGGTTTAGGAGTTTAGGGTTTAGGGTTTAGGGTTTAGGGCTTAGGGTTTTAGGGTTTAGGGCTTCGGGTTTAGGGTCTAGGGTTTAGGGCTTTCAGTAGGAGCCTAGATCATTACCAATGGTAGTTGGGGTTCCTGATTATGACTATGGGATAATAGATGCCAACACTCTATTCTGGTTATCAATTGGGGCTTTAAGGTTTAGGGCAGAAGGGCTTCGGGCATCAATTAGGGTTTAGGGTTTAGGGGTTAGGGGTTAGGAGGGGTTTAGGGTTTAGGTCTTGTTGGGTGTCGGTTTTTGGGCTTAGATTTCAGAGAGCTTTGTTGTTGAGAGTTCCATCCTCCGGGTGTTGCAGCTTTTCTGTAGGGCTTCATTGGAGTTATTGACCCACCCTAAACCCTAAACCCAAACCCAAAACCCCGGGTGTGGCCTGTTGAGGATTTCTTGCGCTGGAAGGCAGTTCGGGTTGCTTTGGGGTCCGAGGGTTTGGGGATCCCAAAAGCCTAAATCCTCAAAGCCCTAAACCCGACACCCTTAAACCCTAAACCCTTAAACCCTAAACCCGAAACCGTTTGGGTTTCGGGTTCTACAGGAACTCAGACAGTTCGCCGTTTCAGGGATGTGTTTCTGGAACGGGGGGGGCCCTGAGTTTTGCCCAGACTCCGAAGCCGAAAGCCGTGAACTCCAAACTTGGGCCCTAGAGACCCTCATAGGATTCTAAATATAACCATACAAAGGAACTACTTAGGGGCCTATGGGTATAGGCCCTCAACCAAGAACGGCCTACACCGTAAACGCGACATCCCTCAAGCCTAAAGCGCTAAACCCCTTTTTAGGCCCACTCCGCCTGTAATGCCGAACACATCTTGCACCCAGGAGAGAAAGGAGAAGGGGAGCGAGAAGGTTGCGAAGAAGGAGAAGGAGCCTGAAGTGAAGCAACTGGCACCAGGCTTCAAGGAAGGAGAGAAGGCGGGGACTTGGGCATCCGGATTTCGGTTGATATGTTGGCGTCCAGGAATTGGGGTTTCTGGGTGCAGGGTTGGAGGGTTTAGCTGTACGACTGCGATTAAACTTCTTTTGGAATTCCGGGTTTTCAGGATTTAGGCTGTCGAAAATTCGGGCTTTAGGATTTTGGGGTGTAGAAAACAAGGCTTTAACTTTTTTGGGGTATGCAGTTTCGGGTTAGGGCAGGTCAGCCAATGGCAGCTTGAATGGCAATCGTGGCGCACCCACTGTAGCTGCCGGTAGGCTTCACAAGTCAGAGAAGTCTCCCTCCCTCCTTCTCCAACGAAGCCTTTGCTGTCCAGCTTAGCTTTCGACCCTGGCTTAAGCCGTTTCCCCAAAGTCCAGCACCAGAAGGTCATCCCCTTCGCGGAAGTGCAGAAGCACGATTCCATCGACAAGGGCATCTGGGTGACGTACCGCGACGGCGTCTACGACATCACCAAGTTCCTTGGTGGCCATTTTGGGAAACTTTTGATGTAAATGTTTTATGGTTCAGGTGCCCCTTCACCATGTTAAACACCCTAAACCCCGAACCCTAAGCATGTTGAGGGCCCTTAAGCCACATCCCAGGTTCGTGCAGAACCACCCAGGCGGGCTAGAGCGAATTCTCAAGGCAGCAGGGGGCCAGTGCCTGGGCATCCTTTGGGGTTTAGACTCTAAGGGTTTAGGGTTTAGGGGCCTGTCTAATTGCTAATCCACTTCCTTGGGGTTCCGTACTGTAAGTATAGTCCAACGACTCTCCGTTTCAGGCACCGACAGCAAGCAACGCCCATAAACCACCTTCGACCTTAGCATCCACATCATCGACCCTAAACTTTCAGGATCGACCCCTTCTGGGCGATGTATGCTCAACACAACGTCGCGAGCGTGAAGGACATCTTGGGCGAGTACCGAATAGGCCACCTGAGTCAGGATGAGTATGCGAACCTTCCGCATCTTGGACAGGTTTATGTCCTGTGTGGGTTTAGGGTTTAGGGTGTGTGTGTGTGTTGTTGGTAGTACAACTCGTTGTTAAGGATTTAGCGTCAGATGTTGTTTTTGAGACAAGTTCGTCAAGGCGTGGGTTCAGGTAGCAGACGTCTAGCAACACAGAGCATAGTCCCCAAACTGGCTATAAAAAAGGGGGCCTTAATAATTAGAGTAGGGTTTGGGGTATATTATACTACAATTATAATAAGGAACCCCCCAAAACCCTATTCTAATTATTAAGGCCCTTATGTTAGATTCTTCAGGAGCCCCTTCCTGAATTACCCTCCCTACACAACGGGGACTCCACTCTAAGCTCCAGAGACGGTGCATTTCAGCCGCCATCAGTCTATGCTTGTGTGTGACTGGTTTGGCAATAATATTATTAATGAGGGCAAGGTGGGCGCGCAGCAGCGTTCTGGACCAAGCTAGTGTTTTATGGAAGCAAACAACCATGCAAAGGCAGAATTCAGGTCGCATTGCCACCTAAAAGCTTGGCGCCAGAGCGAGAGAACCCCATAGATCGCTTGCAAGAGACTTTTCAGACAAGGCCACCTTTCGACCCCTACCAGACGGACCCGAAGCGGGACCCGGAGCTCGTCGTCCAAGCGGCCAAGCCCTTCAACGCCGAGACGCCTTTGCGGGTCCTGGCGGAGCAGGAGACAGAGAGGTTTCGGGCTTTAGGGTTTTAGGGGCTTACCCCATAGGCTCCTTAGTAGTTCCATTTTGGGATTACCCTAGAGGCTTCTACATATGAACCATAAACAGGAACGACTTAGGAGCCTGGGGGCTTAGAGTCTTCAGGGCTGGAGGTTTAGGGTTTAGTGCTGCGGGGTTTAGGGTGTAGGTTTGAGGCTTCAGAGGTGGAGTCTAGGGTTTAGGAGTTGTGGGGTTTTTAAGGCTGAGGGTTTCGGGCAGCGGGTTTAGGGCTTAGGGCAGAGGGTGTAGGGTTTAAGGCTGAGGGTTTAGGGCTGAGGGTTTAAGAATGTTTAAGGTTTAGGGCTGGGGCTGAGGATTTTGGGTTTAGGCTTTAGGGCTTCATGTGTATTGTAACATGAGAGTATTATGCGTCTTTTCATGCCGGTTTGTCCTTCTGAAGGGATCTGAGTATACTGTAGCGCCCGGGTCCTGGTCAATGGACACACACGAGTATTGGGCTAGCGCCGCTGCCCGAGCCGAATACCGCAAACAAAGTCGTCAAACACCCACCGTCGAAGTGTCAGCAAGCGCAGATTGTGAGACCTTGCACCGTGATGTCGGTCCATGAAAACACTACAGTTTCGCATCTGTCCGAATCTTGCCTAGAAGTGTTTTTTGTCTCCATCGCCGCTGCTGACAGTGAACGCGGTGATAATTTCACCGCAGTCGCCATCAGCGCGGCCACCGGCCCTACCAGCAGCAGCAGCACCACCGCCACCATCATGATCTTCTCTATCATCATCTTCGTTAACAGCAACACCATGATCACCATTATTCTGACCATCATCATCGTCGTCGTCGTCCTCCTCCTCCTCTTCCTCCTCTTCCTTCTTCCGCCTCTTCGTCCCGCAACAGCAGCAGCATCATCATTTTGATTTTCATCTTCACCTTCATCCTCACCACCACCACCACCGCCGCCGCCGCCGCCAGCAGCAACAGCGGCAGCAGCAGCAGCAGCAGCAGCAGCATCGGCAGCATCACTTTCGTCCCAGCTCTATTTCAAGCAGGAGAGAATGAGCAATGCGTGCGTGCGCGATCCGGTGTGTTGTGGCTATTGACTGGCAGGAATATCTGACCCCGAACGACAAATTCTTCGTGCGGAATCACCTGCCCGTGCTACGGCTGCAACAGGTTGCCCTGCCTTTTCCCCGGAAAGTTTTGGGTTCGGGGTTTTCGGGTTTACGGTTCAAGGTAACTGGATCCATGAAATCCCTGAGCAAACCAGCGAAGAGTGCAGCAATTATTCCAGGAGGCCCCAGTGCCGAACATACTTCAATACCGGAAGCTCAACGTCTTATGTACATGTATCAAACAGTGACAGGTGTGTCGGCAATCATTTTGCAATTATTCGCAGCAGGCATCTTGGCACTAGTTCGACCAAAGGATCAAAATCAAGTCAGCACGAAGCTGCCGATGACAAAGTCCGAGTCATTGTCTGTTGGTCTTGAGAAACACCACAGCTAAAAACCTTCAAAACTCTATGCCCCGAGCTCTAAAACCCCATAAAAGGCAGAAGCCGCGATTCACAAAGTCCCACGCTTTAAACCCGACGCCCAAATGAAGACCCTAAACTCCAAACCCTAATCTTGTCCAGGTCCCTTCAGGTTCCCTGATCGACCCCTCCACCTACGCCCTGGAGACTCAGCTGCATCTACTGCACAAGGCAGTAATGCTGCTTGTTTGCTTCTCTTGTCTTTCTTCAGTTAAGTTTAGATTTTCGAATTTAGGGTCCAGTGTTTACGGTCTCAGGTATTAAGGGGTCCCTAAACCCCAAAGACTAAACCCCTCCACCGCCTCAGCCTTAAACCAAAACCTTGCAGAAAATGCTTTCTGAGTTTCTCCGATTCATTTCCCTTTCTGGTGGCTTCTCGGTCCAAAGTAATATAATCATAGTATTGGTTAGGGTTCCTTATTATTGTAGTTATACTCCCCCAATACCCTATTCTAACTATCAATGCCTCTGAAGAAGAAAAACCCTTGAAACCAGCCAGCCGAAAACGCCTGGGGAATCGGAATGAAGGGAGAGCTGTTGAGTTTAGGATGTAAAAGTGCCCGCAGGGATGGCTTTGCTTTTCGCACCTCAGACATCTTACGGTTCAACGAACTTCAAGATTTGTCCGGTTCCACAGTGATTTTTTCACGTGCATGAAACCTGCATGTTGCAGCTGAGACTTGTGATTGCGGTTATCTCGTGGCAGAAGCTTCCAAAATCTAAGAGTTCAGGCGTCTACCCAGCCATCCGGGTTAGAAATTGAGGCCTTAAGAAGGTCAGGAGCATGGACGCGGCTCAATATGGGCTTTGCCAAGGAGATCGTGAAAGGCGAGGACGAGGATCCGGTGAAACTCACCTTGAAGGACTGCATTTCGGCTTGTAAGAGGGTGGAAAACCTCATTCACCGATACTAGGGTTTGGGATAACAAGGTTTGAATTTTGGATCGGGGGATTGGGAATCCCTTTTCCATGACCGATTCTCTTGCCTGAGCTCTCTACCCAACCCTTTGAAGGACTTGCAGGACGAGACGCGCTTCAAGCGCAAGAAGATCTGTGCGATCATCCAATGCTCGGGCAATCGCCGAGAGGATCAGAACTCGGTGGCGCAGGCCCATCTGCTTATTTGTAGAGACTCGATGTTGAGATGTGGGCTAATTATCATACAAATAACTATTCGGAAATTTCAGCTAGTTGATTCCCGGTGTGTGGGGTCTTGGGCTGGTTTTTATCTGACACATCGCCTTTTGTTCAACGTGTCTTGCCTCAACCTGGGGCTGTCTTGCTCGTGTTGTTTTCGCTTTTACTTGTAATGACAATCCCAAGCCCTCTGTAACCCCGAGCAAAATCTGTTAGACCCAACCTGAAACACAAGGTGTTGCGCCCGAAGCGCTGATTTCCGACCCAGACCAAACATGCTGTGATTGTCCTTTGTTCTGGCTGTGGTTCTTGTTGTTATCATTCGGCTGGTTTGGGTGGTGGGTGCTGCTGCGGTTTTGGTGCTGGTGCTGGTGCTGCTGGTGGCGGTGGCGGTGCGGTGGCCGGGGTGGTGGTGGTGGTGGCGGCGGCAAAGGTGTCCGTGGTGGTGTTGATGCATGTAGCAGTGTATTGATGGTCGTCGTGCTGATGGTCTCCATCCTGCACGTAGACCCTAAACCCTAAACCTTAAACCCTAAACCCTAACCCTAAACCGGAAACCCTGACCAGGTGGAGGGCCTGACGTGGTACACCGGTGCTATCTCCTGTGCTGAGTGGGAGGGGGTAGCCCTGAAGGACGTCCTGGACTCCGTCGGAGTGCCATGGAGTTTGGGTTTAGGATTTAGGTCTTAAAGGTTAAGGGGGCCTAACGATTACCAATATTATTTTGGGATTCTTTATTATAATTCTACTATGAAAGAGCCCAGACAAGACCTTATTCTAATTATTTAGGCCCCTAAACCCTTATAGTAGCCCTCATTGTAGAACCCACTTCCTGTAAAGGAACCCTATGATGAAATCCTCTCCGGGTTATTATAAGGCCCCTACGTTTCGGTTTTCCCGCGCCGGGGGGTTGAGGCTCAGGCTGGAGCTGGTAAGGAATTTGGGGGTCCCTGTAAACCCTAAGCCCTGTTCATGGTTTAGGGCTTGAGGGGTTTAGGGTTTAGGGTTCAGGTTTAGGATTTAGGATTTAGGGTTTAGGGTTTAGGGGTGCAGGGTTTTTAGGCTTTGGTCGCATGCTCGGGGGCCTCCGGCTTTTTCCAGGATGTAGCCTCGACTGCTGAGTAACTGCGCAAGTAAGCTTTGGTTTGCTTTTTGACGATGAACCAGCGATGGGTCAAACATCTAAGTAGCTCAAGAAGGACACAATATGTTCTTATGGTAGTGGCAATGCCTTCAAGCACCAAGTGCCAGCCGTCACAGTCGTCAGATCAACCGCAACGCTTGTAGCAATGGTCACATGTGGTCGCTGCACGTCTCTGTAAGGGCCATTCGAGACCCTGTACTCTCCCCCAAGAAACAACGGCATCTTCACCACTACCCATAGGCTCCTTAGTAGGTCCTTCTTGGGATTACCTTATAGGATTCTAAATATGAACCATAAAAGGGAACTACTTAGGAGCCTATGGGTAAAGACAACTGCAAAGGGAAGCTTCAACGAAGTTCCTTCGCAAGAGCGCGCCAGAAAGGTGCCATCCACCTTGGGCATGGAGAGTGAGCTCGAGGGTGAAGCTGCTAGGTTGCTGTTAAGGAGCTGAATCAAGTTACCATAATGGGGAGGGTTTAGGGTTTAGGTTTAGGGGTTTAGGGGTTTAGGGTTTAGGGTTTAGCGATATCGTGAACGCCTTATAAAACCTGAACCCTAAAGCATGCCTTAACCGCAACCCAGGATGACCAACTGCATCTCCAGATGGAGGGAATGGATCGGCCAAAGGTGGGCGAATGGCGCACCTGGGCCCGTCTTTGGGAAGGGTTTACCCATAGGCTCCTTAGTAGTTCTTTTTTTGGGAATACCTTATATAGGATTCTAAAGATGAACCATAAAAAGGAACTACTTAGGAGCCTATGGGTATGGCTTTAGGATGTAGGGTTTAGGGCTTGGTGGAGGGAGACTGAGGTCTGAACCACAAGTAGTCGACATATAATATACACCAACGCCCTAGCTCGAATGATGAAGGTCCCCCCGTATTGTACTTATAATGCCCTGTTACAAACGCCCAGACCCCTATTGTTAACTGGAGGCGACTGCCCATATTTGGCTATATCCTATAAAAACTTCTATAAAGCCTGACTCCACCCAAAGCCGTAAGAACCCTAAACCCCTAAACCCTAAACCCCCCCTAAACCCTCCAAAAAAAAGCCCATCGTTCTTGGAAGTTCGGGGCTCGGGTGTCGGGCCGGAGCGAAACGGCGCTTCCCCAAAACCCTGAACCCTATAAGCACAAAGCACTAAACCCTGTAAGTCGTTTATGAGTCCTAAACCCTAAACCCTATAAGTCCTAAACCCCAAACCCTAAGCACTGAACCCTAAGCCCTGTAAGTCCTAAAGCCGCGATCCTCGAATGCCGAAGCTTCACCGAGGAGATACGAAGGGCTTCTATGGGGCGAGCATTCCCCTGGCCTGGGCGCAGGCAGAGAGAAGGGTGCGGTAATTTCATTTGTTTTCTTCTGGCGTTTGCAGGGCTTTGAGTTATTTCCTTTGCGTGGTAGGGGTTGGTTTTGGGCGGTCGAGGGTTAAAGTTGTTCTACGATTGCTTTTGGGCGCTTCCTAGTCGCAGGCTTCTTCTGCAGGTTTGTCATACCTTGTGCCACCTATGACAAAGCCGTTCATAGTACCTTTGAATAGCCCTTAGAAGTCTGTATAGGGGCGCCCTTAGCCATGTAAAAGGCCATCCCAAGATCTTTCAATTCAAACGGTCCGGTCCCGCGAGGGTTTATTTCCGGCTTGAAGGTTTTAGGGTACAAGAGTTTGGGGTTGATGGGTGTGTTGCTTTTTGTTCGGGGTTTAGGATGGTTGAGGGCTTAAAGGGGCTTTGGGCTTCGGTGTCCGGGCTTCCAAAGACCGAAACCTACAAAATGAGTGAGGGTGTAGACACTTCCGGCGGTTTAGGGTTGAGGGTTTAGGGTTCCTGTTTTAAGGATCCTCGCCGTGACGTGCTCCTGGCCTTCAAAATGAACGGCGAGCCTATCCCCGCCGATCACGGCGCACCCCTGCGCTGCGCGGCTCGGCAGAGCGTTGAGGGCTTACAGGCTTACAGTGTGGCAGGGCTTCAAGGATCAGTGTTTTGGGGATTCAGTGTTTAGGTTTAGGGTTTGGGGTCTACGTATGGTTTTTAACCCCTCCAACCTATAAGCCTTACTTAAAACCCGCTAAAGCCCAAAATCCCCCAAGGCACGAAATCCCCTGAAGCACCAAAGCCCCGCAGGTCGTCCCTGGCGTGGCCGGTGCACGCAGCGTGAAGTGGCTCTCGAAGTTGATCGTGGCTGAGGCCTCCCAGATAGAAAACAGGGGCTTAGGGGGTTGGAGGTTTTTGCTCTTAGGTTTTGGCTGCCCTGTATCCTTGGGGTTTTCGGGGTTTCGGGGCTTTGGGGGCCCAATACCCTATTAGCCCATACCCTAAACCCTAAGCCCCTAAACCCTAAACCCAAAACCCCTATACCCCGACCCTAAGCCCTAAATCGTTTAGGGGTCTAGGCTGGGGTTTGTGGAGTTCGACTGGGAGATTCCAACACAGAGGCCCGTTATAGGCTTCAGGGCTATTACTCTTCAGGTCCTAGTCATACTGTTGATGATGCAAATCCTGCAGTACCTTAAGGACGCATGGGAATTGCGGTATATTCCTTATTGTGGGTAATGCCGGGTTTGTATCATCAACAGTATGGGTAGAAGTATTAGGGAGACCCCTCAAAGGGGACCCTTCTAAACCCTACTTCTGGATCTCTTAAAAGGACATTGTTGAGAGGGTATTCAGCCCGAAGGGTCCCCCGAATGCTAACTCCCATCATAGCTAGAAAAAATAACCCCGAAACCCTATTCCGCTAACTATTGAGGCCCTCATATTATGAGCGTCGTCGTGGCGATACCACTGACTTTGATTTTGTGCGCAGGTTAAGGCTGTAGTTTGAGGTTGAGGGTCCAGGGTACCGCAGGCGCAACGTATCGGCATCAGCCTTGATCTGTAGGCGTTTAAGGCAAGCCTGCTTAGGTAGTCACAGTGCGACTGTCATGTTATTGATGATAAATCGCCCTTCAAGGGTCCAAGTATGTTTCTGTAGGCTCGTAATAGATATTTGGCCCCAACAGTATATGCTGTGCTTTTGCTTTGGACCCTTTGGGTAGCCTTTGTTCTGTAAGTACGAACACTCGTACAGGGAATTCTCGTATCCTACCCTAAACCCCAAACCCTAGACCCTAAAACCCTAAACCCTAAACCCTAAAACCCTACACTGCAACCAGAAGGGAACGTCCAGCTCTGGTGCCACACCCTCAACCGAAAACCTTCAAATCGATGGTGGGTAGTTCTCTAAGTTAGGATCCCTTTGTAGGTCCCTGATGTAGTACGGCACCCTTATAAAAAGGGACCCTGAAAGGGACCAATTAAGAGAACTACCCATGTGGTTATGGGTTTCATAGAGGTCCGTTAAGAATAGACCTGGGGCAGGGGCCCCGAATTTTCGTAAACCGCTGCAAGAGGGTCCATATTTGCCACCATTATGGAATTAGGTGCCCCAAAGCCATTGTAAGGATCGTGTTTGGGGCCGAATTCCATACCCAGAGATCCCAATTACCCTTTACCCTATACCCTTTAACTAATAAGGAATATACTTCAATTCATAATATTCAGGCCTCCACAATTTAAGGTATATTCCTTAAGGGGTATTGGGTTCTCTGATAATGGTAGTGTATATGGACCCTTCGTGACTGCACTGAAATCCTAAAAACTCAACATCTCCTGCAGCTGTACCGCAGGAGGAATCGCAGAGCCACTGGCAGCAGAACCTGGTTGCCGCAATACTGTGGTTTCGGGATTAGGGGTTCAGGCGTGTACCCATAAGCTCCTTAGTAGTTCCTTCTTGGGATCACCTTATAGGATTCTAAATATGAACCATAAAAAAGGAACTACTTAGGAGCCTATGGGTAGGTGTGTAGGGTTAAGTCTTCCGAGTTTTGCCCGGGTTCTGTTGTGATCTCGCTTCTTTCGCCTGAATTTGGAAGCAGCTACAGCAGAAGTATGGTTTAGACCATGTTCTCTAGGCATGCCGCTAAACTCTGCATCCAAAACTCCTCTAACCCTGAAGCCGAATCCTGAACCGTACAGCCTTCGTGGCAATACTTAACAAGCCAAAATTCTCAACACCCAGCTGTAATGCCTAAATCCTTAAGCCCTACCCACCGAGAGCAGTAAAACCGCACCAGCGATTCTTCCATTCGTCCAGGCTGCAAATCGTCTCTCCGAAGCCCTAAACCCTGAAACCCAAAACCTTAGGCCTAAAACCTAAATGCCAAGCCCTAAGGCTTAACCCCTAAACCCTGAAGCCCAAAACCTGAAGCCTTAAACCCGACCCAAAAAATCAGGAACGACTACAAGGCCTTCTGCTCCTCCATTACTTGGGACACAGCGGACTTCTCAAGCCTTCCTGCTATTCAGGAGCTTAGGGGTTTCGGGACGAATTGCCATCGTTGCTATGATTATGGAGGCGACTTTTATGCAGGGTTTGGGGCTGCTTCGGCAGAGAAGCTTTGCAGGTGGAGTTTTGAGCTTACTGGTTTAGAGATCGCAATGGTAATGGTGCAGGTCACGTGTTGATGGTGATGTAGAGACGATGGCCATGGCGATGATGCAATGATGCATGAGTGATGCCCGAATGACTTGGTGCTGACGAAGCAGGAACAGACAAAGATGCTGATGATTCGGGTGACGGCTGCAGTCATGATCATCGTCATCGTTATTGCTACCGTCGCCAACATCATGTTCCGCCTCCTCCACCTCCTCCTCATCATCACCATCATCATCCTCCTCCCTCTCATCATCATCGTCATGATCACCATCACCATCACCATCACCATCACCGTCATCATCACAATCATCCCCGCCATCATCACCATCTTCTTTCTTCTTGTCGCCACTATTTTCATCATAATCTTCTTGCCTTTCATCGCCACCATCGTCATCGACAGCAACGGCAACAGCAACAGCAACAGAACTGGCAACAGCAACAGCAACAGCAACAGCAACAGCAACAGCAACAGCAACAGCAACACCAACACCAACACCACCATCACCATCACCATCACCACCACCACAACCATCATCATCATCTTCATCTTCATCATCAGCGTCGAATCATCATCATCATCATCACCATCACCATCATCATCATCATCATCGTCATCCTCATCGTCATCGTCAGCATGGTCGTCATCGCCGTCATAATTATCCCTCCTTTCTCATCATCACCGTCAGTGCCACTCATCCTCATCATTTTCTTTATGGTTCGGCTCATGTTGAGGGCAGCTAAGGTTTTATACTCGTCACGCATGCGGTAACCATGATGGTACGGACAATCATGTGCATGTCGGCGACAAGCAAGCACCACGTGGACTATGACCAGGCTCGTGTTGATGTTGATAGCCACGATGCTGGGCATGTTGGTGGTGATGGTAGTGCGGAGGTATAGGTGCTTGTGATCTTTACCCAGGACGGGGCGCCATTTCAGAAAGGGTTGCCTTCACGCCTGCACAATATTTAAAAGCATACCCAGTCATGCATACGAGTTCGTTTTCTTGCCAGAACATTCAGTAACATTCAAAAATAATTCCAAGTCATTCCAGGAATCATTGAAACCCGACCCGAAGCCCTAAACCCTCAACTCCAACCCCCCTCGGCCTAGACGAGGACATGCCCGTGAACTCTGCGATCTCCTCGCCACCCGCGAAGTCGCTAGTGGAGCTGACATCCGATGGCTGCACCTGGGCGAATGATTTCCGGATGTAGTTCCACTAAACCCCTAAACCCCTAAACCCTAAAACCCTAAACCCCTAGACCCTAAATCCCTTAGGCTGGGAAATGGGCTTAGAGTCTAGGGTTTATTGTGCTATAGGGCTTTATTTGGGGTTTAAATAGGGCAACAAAACAAAAGAAGGGCGGGTCAGGAGCATTTCCCGAGACTCGGGTGTGCCTTCTCTTCGGGGACCCTGATTAACATTTTGAAGGTTTGGGTTTAGGGTTTAGGGTCTATAGAGGAATTGGTGTCTTATGAAACTCACATGTTCACTTGTTCTTTGCAACAGTATCACACTGCGAGTACTTAACTTCCGAGTCCTCATAAGGACCTTCACCCTAAACCCTAAACCCTAAACTCTTGTTTTTTCGGCTGTAGGATTCTTCCTAGTTGGACCCGCCGCCCTTTATAGGCCGCCACCCCAATCCCCATAGCTGAGAATTTGTGATGGCTTCTTTTGGCGGGTTGACCCAGAGAACCCCAATACCCTTTAATTAAGGAATACACCCTTAACAAAATAGATTAAGGCCTCCATAATTTAAGGTCTATTCCCTAAGTAAGGGGTATTGGCTTCTCTTATTGCGATCCCTAAAGAAGGTCTTTTCTGTAGGGCCTTTGAGGGTTCTGTCGCTTGGCCCAGGTATCCAACCCTGCAAAGACCGCACACCCTAAACCCCAGAACCGCGTAGAACCCAAACCTTACAGCTCGAACGCCCTCAAGTCCTAAACCTGAACCCTAAACCCTAAACCCTAAACCCTAAACCCTAAACCCTAAACCCCTTAACCCTACACCCGAAGCCCGATTTATAGGACCTAAACCCCTTTTTTGGGCCCCTACAGTCGAAGATACCGCAGAGCCAGTAAGGAGTTGGGGGTTTCTGGTTCCGGGTTCAGGGTGTAGCGGCTAAGCCGCTAAGCCCTAAACCCTTATAAACCTAAACCCCTACAAACTCTCAACCCTTATAAACCCTGAGCAACCCTTATAAACCCTAAACCCTTATAAACCCGAAGCCCGAAACCCTAAACCCTATAAAGCCTAAGTTTAGCGTTCGGTCTTGAGGGGCCCAGGGCTCCCAAACCAGAAACCAGCTTCTGCCCTGTAAGCCGCCAACAGCGAGACCTACAAGTTAAAAGGGCCTGAAGGAACAAAACATAAAGCTACACAAGATAAGTGCAGAACTATCAAAGCAGAAAGCGAAAAGATGCATAACGCGCTTATAGGACCCTTGTACAACCCTAAGAGACTCTTGCAAAAGCTTCTAATATAGATCTCCATTAATAGCACCCTTATGAGACCCTGAAATCCTGCGAAACCTTGCATAATCCTTCAAATCCTGAACCCTCAGCCTCTTAAGCCCTTATTACAGATGTCTCACAGGAGCCTTTACTGGAATTCTTAAAGCCTTAACCCTTGTAGAGCCTCTATGGATCCTATAACAGGAGCTCTTAAAGGAAACCTTAAACGAAGCCTTACAGGCCTGAAGGAGCCCTTAAAAGGAGGCCTGAAAGCCGTAAAGGAAGCCATAGCCATCAAAAAGGTCTCCTGACTCTTAACCCTGCAATCCTGACCCCTTGGAAAAAGGGCCCTTAGAGGAAGCCTCAATGCTTTGCAGGAACCCTAAAGCCTTAAACCTTGTAGATCCCGTAGAGGAGCCCCTGCAGGAGCCTTTAAAGGAGCCCTAAATCCCTAAACCCTAAACCCTATAAGCCCTAAGCCCTCCCTACAGTCTCCATTGTACTTCTTTTTCCTGGTTAACCAAGTACATATTATAGGATCCTAACCATAGGCTGGGTTAACCAAAACAAAGGAACCGCAATGGAGACTGTAGGGAACATCCTAGACTCTCAACCACCCACCCCCCAAAAAAAAACCAAAAAAAAAATCCTAAGCCCAAAAGCCCTAAGCCCTCAGATCCTGAACCCTTAGAGGGTTTGTAGCCCTACACCCTAAACCCTTAAAGGATTTGTAGAACCCTTGAAGGGGCCCCCCAAGCAAAAGAACAAACACACCCTAAACACCCTAAACCCTAAAAGCCCTAAGCCCTAACATCCTGAACCCTTAGAGGGCTTGCAGCCCTAAGCCCTACACCCTAAAATCTTAAAGGGTTTGTAGAACCCTTGAAGGGCCCCCCCCAAACCCTAAACCCCAAACCCCAAACCCTGAACCCTAAACCCTAAACCTGGGCGGCGCTTAAGCCCCTCGACCTCGATGGCGCAGAGCGATCCAACACGTCCGGAGCGGGACCAGTGCCTGGTCCCTATTTGGCTTCCGTCGGCCATTTGGGCCCCCCCCCCCCCAGAAAAGGAGCTTTCAGGGGGCCCAGGCAGATTTCAAGGACCTAGCGCTCAAAGCCGGTCCCAGGAAAGACTTCTCTATTGACCTTTTTTTGCTGCCTGGCCGCCCCCCCCCCCTCGCCGGCCCACCGTGGCCCTAGCCCCCACCTGGCCCCCCTCCCCCCCTAACCCCCCCCCCCCCCAGACGGCGTGGGGTGGGAGAGTA